GATAAATAGAATAAATAGAATTTGACATTTTTAATTACAATTAAGGACGGCGCCGATGAAAAAAGATCAATTACTAAATGATTGACAACTTAATATAAATGAATATTGAAAACAAAAATGTCTATACATATGAAATTCAACTTTCATCCTTCTCTCTACTGTCTTGTATTTTGCTCGTCAGTAGAGTTAATTTTTTATGAAATGTCTTGTACTTTATTTTGCTCGTCAGAAGAATCATTTTTATATTTACTATCTTCTATTTCAGCTGGTCAGTAGAGTAGCTTTTTTATTCTATAAGCCAAAAAATATATATAAGCCAAAATTATTATTTTTTTGTTGTGATAATAATTAAAAACATTTGTTTACGTTCATTAATACATTAAAGAAACAAGTTCAGGAAGCAATTCTTCCTGTTTCTAAAGCTTCTAACAATAAGTTAAATATTAAATTAAAAGAGTATTAAAAGAGTGTTTAAAACTAAACAAAAAAGATTTAGACTTTTTGAGTTATGAATATATCGATTCATAATTTTGAACATTTATTGATAAAATAAGTTACATAGTTATATAGAGGATGAGAAGTTTAAGTTTGCAGGACCAAAAATTATTTTGCCTTACCTTGTGCATTCAAAATATTCAAACAAGTATCTTGTGGCTTAAGACCCTTTTCCTTGGCATCATGTTTAGCATTGCAAACCCTGCGATTCCTTGGCAAAACATCAACATTACAAAGGTTATTCGATTTCTCGCTTTTGAAAAAAAAAAGGAATTTAATTATTAATTGTACAAGGCAATACTGCACAGCGTGCGTTATGAGTTGTAAAAAATATATAACTTATCATCAGTACAGCACATTTTTCCTTCAACATTTTATGTCAAAAATCAATCCAGCTCTGAGATCGGACGAAGACTTTGAAATCTGTCGCTATAGTTAGTCGACTGGAGACCCGGTCGACCAAAGTCGGATCCAAAAAAAGTCCAGATGAGACCACCCAATCAGATTGCTCATTTGAACAAAATGAAACCTAATAAAAAGTTGAGTTCACACCCATGATATTACTGAGTGCAATGGAACAGCTGTTAGGTCGTTATTTCATACACACCCTTGTAGTATTTCGAAGTGTGCGGTATGCATCAATGCCGAATGCATTTATGTTTGGCGCCATCTCGTTATGTTTAACTGGCAGAATGACTAGTATTTTACCTTGTATAAGATTGTTTATGATGATACCCTAATGAAGTTGTAATGGACTAGCGGGTTAAAAGAATCTGGTTGAAAATGTCAGGGTAGCACATGAAACTTAAAGAAAAGAGGTATTTGTTTCATAAGTTCAGTTAAATTTACCCATACGTTTCTTTAATGAAAATGTAACGATTATACATTAATTACATAATTAGGTACTAGTGGCAATAGTTCTCGTGCTTGGTTTCGAGTACGTATACGCAAGCGATTTGTTTTTGTATTGTATTTTACTTTTTTCAATTAATTTCATATGAACATTTGAACTGTTTCCAGTTTTATAAATATTTATATATATATATATATATATATAAATTTGTGGATCATATCTTTAAGTGGATTCAGTTGCTGTGGCAATCGTTCTTGTTTTGGGCTTCGAGTTCAAATCCCCAAGCAAATTTATTTTTTCAATAAATTTTAAATGAACTTTTAAAGTTTTTCCAGTGATATTTACTTCAGAAGTGATAAATAAATTGCGGAATTACTTTCGATAATCCGCATTCACAAAAATCAAGATGAGACGACCAATGAGTTTCTGCCACAAAAGATTTTGAGGCATGGTGCGAACAATAGATCTGACAGAAGTATCGCAAACCTTTTATAATATATTTTATTATAAAAAAGGGTTTAATCTAACTAAACAATTCCTCTACTTTCAAATAATGTTGTTAAAAAATTCCTATCTTTACTTGTTTTTGAGATATTGGTGGTGGATATTTTATCCGCGAACTTTTAGCCGCGCTCTCCCCTAATAATTTTTTTTCGACTATATATTCATTTTTCACCAGAATCGAAATTATAAAATATTTTTCAACCGAAAAACAATAGGATTCTCATTCGAAAGTGACAAATGAGTACAGGTCTTTGAGGTACCCGACGTAAAAAGATCGACTCGCGCTCGAAAATATTTAATATCTTTCGATGTAACAAATTCGGGTAAAGGGTAAGTGAAACCTTTGTAAATATTTAAGGGTTGTTATTTTTAAGAAAATTGCAAAAACAAAAAAAATTTAAATCATTACAAAGTTCAACTCAATATGAGTGTAATAAAAAAATAATACTGATCCGATCAGCACTATTGGAGATAATTAATTTACCGCATAGGATGTTCATAGAAATTGAGCAAAAAATCCATATTTCAATCGTAAATATTTACGTAAAAAAATTTTTGTTAGCAAAATCCTGAAATACCTGTCAAATGATTTTATGTATAATATCTGTAAAAAAAAATTCAGACGATTCTAAAATGTGGCATTTTATTTTTCCGAAAATCCGTGCGATTTGTAAAAGAATGACCCTTATACATTTTATTTCTTAAATTTTATTTTTAGTTTCCACTGATTAAATTAAATAAATGTTTAAAGAAATTCATGTTTTTTATTGATGTTATATGCTTGATTATTAGATTGATTAGACTTTGTTCATACATATGTCACCATCAAATTCAAAATTATACAACATAATATTACAATAGAAAGTATAAATAATAATGTATAAATCAATATATACATTTATATATATTTGAAAATATACATTAATTGTGCTGTAGATGATGTACATCTGAGAGATAAAACTTTCTTCTTATAATTATATCACAGTTAATTGTAAATATGTTGCAATATGTCAACAGATTGTTCCAAGTTGACTTTATCAAGAGATATTGGAAGGTGAGCATTGGAAATGTTCAGCAAATTAGAAACAATTTAGTTATGTTCATAGATAATATAGTTTATTTATTTATTAATATACACAGCTTACATGTACTATTTATGTATTGTTACCTTTTAAAGTATTATATAGAAGTCGCTAAAATGTCGAAGGATTTATCTTAAGTCGTAAATAAGACATTCTTATTTATTATACTCTCTGGGAGTACCCGACATTAATGATGATTGAATGACTGTTATACCTATATCTGCATCGAAATATAAAAAACCGAGTTATGTTCTTTATTCTAAAACATTTATATCTTATTTACAAACTCATTCATGCGACTATCGGAAATGATTGATCACATCATAAACAATAACATATTTTGTTTTTCTTACTGGTGAGTAATTTTTATTTACACTTAAATTTGGCATTATATTATTATATATCTGCTATTACATTTCGTAATAATGATTTACATTTAGCGAATAGCATAACTTAACTATTGCATATTATTAATCGCTTCATTTAATATGATATAAACATGACAACCACTTTAGTTTAGATTCATTTACATTCTGTACGAATGTTTCAACATGATTTAGTATACACAAAAAGACAATCCTGTGGTGTCTTTAAATATATAAATGCAGTTGATTCATCTTACATATATTCTGCGATTTACTTTATCACTCAGCATATTCATTCCGAACAGTAACAGAATTATTGCTTATTTTGGATATTATAATATATTATTGTATATCTGATGCATTTTCTGACCAAATAATTGCATGAATGTAAAGGAGTTTTGCTCCACGACGACTCAAGTCTAATAATTGTTTAATATAATTTTTAAAATATTTGTATCCAATAAATAAAATAAATGTTCATTGGAAACTATAGACAATAAAAATATTTATTGCTTAATTATTTTATTTCTTTATTTAAAAAATTAGATCAATTTTCAGAGTCATATTGAAATTTTTTAATAAATATTGTTTTTTTTTACTAAGGTCTGTAAAATATATTGTAGGTGAAATATGTTGTAAAAATTATATTACACAGTAAGTAAACTACACAAAAGTTTTTTCAAAAATCCATTTTCTTCAGTTATTCAACCACAATTGTTTGATCAGTTTTGCTTTCGTTCACATTGTTATTATATCATATCATAAATATTTATATAGAAATATATTACTCACATACAAAACTGTACAAAAGGAAATTCATTATACACACAGACTCATGATCATAAAATTCTATATCTGTTTTGATTGTGGATTCTGTTTTGTTTTAATAGATTCTATAGCCATACAAAAGATAAGCATTTTCCTTTATATTTCATTTAATTAAATATGGGGCATTTTCTTTAGTTTTACTCTAATCGCATTCATAAAGGTTTTACGATATTAAAATTATTATCGATTTATTTATGAAATTCAAAAAAATTCTCAGATACATTTTATGTTCTTTTATTTTAAAATATTATTTAATGTCATTTAAAACTTAATTTTTCAATTTTTCCAGTTGAAATGCTTCGTCCAGATAAAATTAATTTACCATGATTCAAAAATTAACTTATCCATATTATTTCCTTGTCATTTAAAACCAGAGTCATGGATCTATAAAAATTAGCTAAAATTAATCTGAAGATAATATAATTAGGAGATAAAATTTTGATATTTTGATTTTTTATCAAAAAGTCTAAATGTTTGAGATACAAAAGGTTGGCATACAAAAAAAATATTATAATTTTTTTTACCAGACACCTATCTGACACGTTAAAATAAATTATAAAAAGCGTATATTTTAAAAACTAGTCACGTTCATACATATTTACAAATATACACATAAACATTCAGTTATACTTATAAACTTTTATATGTATATATATATATATATATATATATATATATATATATATATATATACCTATATATATATCTAAATACACCTCATGTAACGAACATATTATACAAAGAAATTCCTATGAATTTCTGTTAAATATGGCCAAAATTATTCATCATAAAAAAGTTTCTTATAAGTTATTATTATATACATGTTATTTTGATAAGAACGCGTATAAATATATTGATATTTAATCATTTACGCAAATCACATTGCGTATTTATTTGTCGGTACTTATAAAATACCCGCATATCGCAGTAACATAATCTGTCTACTTTACTTATTGTTAAATATTTACAAAATTATCATTAATATAAACATAATCCTGTCGCTACTCACGTAGAAAGCCTCCGGGAATTCCTATTTTGACGCCTGGCGCCGCCACTCTTCCTGCGCTTGCGCCTAGAGTCACGTCTGAACACTACATTTCCAGGATCATCTGCTAACTGTGGATATTTATGAGAGCTGTGTATCTCAGCACCCTCCCATCCATCCACATCACCATGAGCTATTAACTGCTCTTTCTCTTCTTCAGTCCAATCACCACGTCCTTGGAAACCCGCGGCTACGATTTGTTTTTCTAATTCCCAAGCTCTTTCCACAGCACGCTTATGGGCATGTTTCAGTATTCTATGTCGCTCCTGAATGGGATCTGTACCATATCTTATAATGACTACAGCATCAGGATTATGTAAACGCAACTCTTTGCCACCTCCATGTTCCGAACTTTCGTGAGCTGATACATTGAACATACCGCCTAATCGCCTAAGTTCTTCAGTATCATCACGAATTTTAAGAACATTATCTTTAACGAAGTAGAATACATCTTGATCTCTTACACTAAAGTGTGGTTCAAGGAAGTATGAACCGTTGAATACCGATGTGACTACGTCTTGTACGACGCCATTCACACCATCCACAACGCTGACTAATGCTCGGCCGTTTGCCCGAGAAATCAGAACACCTTCGCCGAAAACTGCTCGCCTGTAAGCTACACGGGGCAAAAGGTTGCGTGTTTTGGCTTCTGTCTTGAGAAGTGGTTTAGGAACAAATCCAAGATCTGAGAAACGTCGGTTCACCTGAAAAGCCATAAGTGTTAGCTCAACTATATCAACTATAATGAAATATTTGACAAATTTTTGCAAACTTACTTTATCAACAATGCATTGAAGTCCGCTAGTAACGCCCAAGTCCGGATTTAATTGCGGCGCAGATATTGTTGCTGTTGGTCTATAGATCATATCTGCAGCATATCTAGCTCCTAGCATTTTATCTGCATCATATCCATAAAGCCTCATCCAGCTGGATAAATCTGTCATATATCGAGGTTCACGATCACCATGTCCGTTTATGGGATCATTATTTCGGAATCGATATATAAATACATCAGTTGGTGTCGTCAACTTGGTGGCAAGCAGTTCCCAAGCTGGGGTCATCCATTGTCCAACGACTAAAAAGAAGGAAAGCATGTTGATAATTACTTCAAGTAAAAATTTATTTATTAGTAATATAATGTATTAGAAATATTATTATGAGCATCTGAACAAAACTGTTTATAATTATCAATCGCACTCACCAGGATCATATAATCTCTTATCAAGATACACTAGTCTTGTGTTTGGATCTAATATTCCTCCATGGAAATCGACTGGTAAATAGAAATCAGGATTTGAATCTTTAGTGATCTTTCCGAACGGCGTTCGTCGAATTTCTTTGATAATATTGCCATTAGTATCGAACAAAGCTAATGGTGATCCATTTTGGTCCGAAGCTACATAGAAACGTTGCTCTGAGGTTTCAACTGTGATAAGTACATCGCGCTGATCGTAAAGGAAACGGAATGTTCTTCCTGTAATTCAGAAGGAGTTATATGAATATTATCATTAACTTATAAAAAAATGTATTTGATAGCAAACATAAATAATTATTTACCGGTTTTAGGAAAATGAACGTGTGTGACTAGATCTGGAGTATTTGGATTTGAATAAAAATATTGTGTCACATTTGCTTTATCGTCCCTCCAAGCTATGAGTCTACCGCGATCATCGTAGAAGTACCAAGCCTGAAGTCAGATAATTTAGTAAGTCATCTGCTTTGTGTGATAAGTTCTAAATTATTAATTATAGTACTGTATTACCTGAAATCTATCTCGTTCATAAGCGTGTGTGAGTTGGCCACGAGAATTATATCGGTACTTGTGTTCACCGCGTCTTACCACAAAACCACGACCATCGTAAGAATTGAATTCTACATCTCCATATTGAACGACACGATCTCCACTATCATAGCTGCAAGGTAAAAAAAAATAATGATATAAACCTGTTGTGTCATAATTTAATTTCGAATAATGTTGAAGTTCAGGTAAGAAACTCACCCAAGAGTTAATTTTTCGCCTTGCTCAATGACTCCAATGGTGTTTCCATTCTCATCATAAACATACTTCCAGTTGCTGCTTCCAACGACTTCCATTACATGCCCGTCGGAATTGTAAGTAACGCGATCTAACATTGAATTCCTTCCTATCATAAGTTTCTGAGACTTCACTCTATTTCTTAAATCGTACTCAAGTTCTAGTCGGAAAACATCGAATGACTTAATATTAATTAACACGCTTTTCACACGGCCATGTCTATCATAGTCTGTAATAGTTATAAACTGCTTTCCAGTATCTTGCATAAAAGATCTATTGAAAGCGTTTCTATAAATACGCAAATCGCTCACTGATTCTAACACACCAAAGTTTTGATTATATTTCAAACGGAGTTGGGGCAATTCTTTGCTTTCTATATCCATTTCAATACCAGATAATCTGGCGTTCCCGTCATACTGATATTTATAATGAGCACTTGAAAATCCGCTCTTACCACTGAACTTTAATCGTTCATCCTTTAAAATTCCAGCGTGATATTTGAACTCATGTTTCAAATCAAAATTTGGTTCCTTAATTTCCACGTTCTTTACAAGCCCAGTAGTGTCCTGATAAGTGTACTGTATAGAAGATAAGCCAGCCAACGTTGTTTCTAGTTTACCAGTAGCATCATATACATAGGCCACTTTGCCAGACTGATGAGGATAAACCTTTGCCAATATTTGACCATCGTCGTTATACAGTATTTCATATGGATGTCTGTTCATTGGAGAATAATATTGATACTTGAAGAATCCTAAAGATGTTTGCAATGAAAACGCGTGAATATGACCTCGGGGAGTTGTTAAAGACTGTAATGCACCAGCTTCGTCATATTGTAACAAGTAATCGCTACGTCTGGGAGTAGTAACTTTTAAAGGTAAACCACCAAACATGTCTTTAAATGCATATACCATACTAGAACCGTCACCATATTTAATTTCGTTTAATCTCCCGGCTCTGTCAAACGAATATGTTTCGTTCAATTCACCCCATTTCCAGCTAGAAAGTCTCCCAAATCTGTCGTATTCTAATTCAACGCCGTCGAACACATCACTTTGTGGACTCCATTTAACTGGTCTAGCGGTTCGGTCGTAAGTAACATTCAATAATTCAACTCGATCATCCATGAAAACCGCCACCGTGGCCGTTTCTCTGTCGTACTCTAATGTTAGCATATTATCCCCATTTACTCTCATTTTCCTACCGACTTGCAAAACGCTTTTGCTGGTTAATTTGCCTACACCTCGAGTCGTGGGTTGTCCAGCACGACGTAAGAAGTAACGCATCTCGACGCGGTTCGCAAGATCACCTGCTATTTCTGTTCTTTGTTTTGCAGGAACTGGATAACTTTCACCAAGCAAAGAATCTAATTCAGCCAATACGGCGTAAGGAACTGTATCAGTAGTGAAACTATGACCCCATGGAGTTATACGAGCGATACTACCATCAGCGTACACACTTGTGCGATATTCGGCTTCACCAATTTTTGTGATAACTGATGGGCCTTTTATGAGCATTGATACAGGCCGACGATTATCCTGGGTTACTTTTACAGTAGCACCTAAAACAAATAATTATATTTTAGTAAAATAATTATTTAATATCATTATCAGAAAACTTTTTTAAAATGATACATACCTTTAATGCTCAAATCAAATCCTAAGCTAATCATCTTTCCAGTTGGCATGACAGCAGAGGTTAATCTACCAAATTCGTCATAATTATAAACATAACTTCTACCAGTGCTATCCAGTTTAGTCTTAAGCAAACCAGTTGGCCCATGGTAGTCAAAAGTGACATTGTAATTATCTGGAGTACTAAGCTCATGAAGTAGTTTCATTCTTGACATTCTTAATCTACATTTTTGCCCTTTAGTATTTTCAATAGAGTTTACTTGACTAGAATAATCACGAAGCAGGAATACTTTGTTACCTGCGAAAATCGATCGAGTTAATATTATTATGATACCAACAATTACTTTAAAGCGATTTATTTTTGAACATATAATTTTATTTTGTGTGAACGTTAATATTATCCAATGTATAAATACCTGCAGCATCAGTAACCGTGCTCAATTTTCCATTGCTGGTATTCACATTATATGTGAATGTATAACTGGTCTCGCCAGTTAAAATATTTTTGGTTGCAATGTGTTGTCCAAAACGATTAAATATATATATTTCTTGAGTGTCTGGAGCAAAGATTTCGTACTCTCTATTAGGACCAGCTTCTGGAATGCTTGCGCGTACCGATCGAATTCGATAATTAGCCTGGTCACCTATATGCAGAGTTCCATCAGCGCTTACAGCGACAGCAGATATTGTATTAAATTTGGCTGCAGAGGCAAGGTAATGATCTGCTTCGAAGCAATCGCATCCACGTTCCAAGCAGTTACATTTTGATTCCGCACCGGCGTAGGGAGAAATTTTTCCTAGAAATGGTATAATAATCGTATTTATAAAATCATGATTAGCCGTCCAGTTATCTGTTATCTTATGAATTACAAAATTCTTATTGGATTCATAAGAAATTAGAACTTATTCACGCCCTTTCGCGTAAAAAAGGTTTTGATATTAGGTGTCATATATCAAGTTCATATAATGAAACTTACCATCAGTCCCGATAACTCGAACTCGATTAATCCTTTGTGAATCACTTTCAGCTACATAGAGATCACCTGATGGAGCAAATGCAATACTTTGAGGCATAGTTAAAGTGGCGTGAGTTGCAAGTTCTGCGTCATAACCCGAAGCTGGAGATGGGCAATGCAACGGTCTACCAGCTACCACCTAGAATATTACATAATTAATACTAATACCATTTTTTATTACTCAGATAATTGTTCAGAATGTGTGGATTATAAAATTTTACCTTAAGACGACCATCCGGAGCAAGTTGCAGTATCATATGATCGTCTATAACGTGTAAAGAGTCATCCAACGGATTTATGGCTAATTCAGTTGGCCAACGTAAATGTACTTCCTCAACGTTCAGAGTACCTAAAATAATTTATAAGTTATTGCTTAAATATTCTAATTCGATATTGAAACTTATACATAAATATGTACGTATATGAAATAATAAATACATGTTAGTATTATACGTATATTTATATTTTAGTTATTTCATAATCAATTAGTTATATATTTATATTACCTTCACAAGGAATTGGTTTCCAATGCGATTTATGCATGTGATTTCCCACAACTGTAGTTACGATGCCATCTCTGTCGACCATTCTGATGTTTGTACCGTCCGCGAAATATAATACATTATTCGCTGAGACGGCAATTCCTTTAGGATAAGCCAATTTTGCATCTCTAGCTAAAGCACCATCGCCACAATGCGCCTCATCGCCGGGAAGACATCGTTCGCCTGAGCCAACTACAGGTTCCCAGTTTCGTTCCGGATCCGTGAAATCGTCTACATCGCGTACACGGATAATTTGATGAGATTCAGGATCGGAAATATATAAGGCGTTATCGAGCGGACTTAGTGCCATGTGATAGCGATAGGACACACGAGTTGCGCTGAAATGATAACACAAGATTTACTTAAAAATTTTAGATGTTAGAGATGTAAATGAATACAATAGATTCAAATCTTAAAATATAACAACATATGATGTCTTACGAGAAATTATGTAAATTATAGAATTTTTATAATTTTATTATTTAGACATACTTTAGTCGCACGACGGTTCTAACAGTCCCATCCGTCATAATCCTTCGAACCAAGTTAAAATCACCGACAAATATTGATCCATCTGGAGCTGTAGCCAAAGCAACTGGAGCTAATAGACGCTGCCTGTACGCCTGACCATCACAATCTGAACATTCAAGTGGTCTCTGATGCCCATCACCCATACTTGTTAAAATCACGCGTGGCTTGTGCTTCAAATATATATTAGCACCATCACCTTTTTGTAGAATTCCTAAATGATAAAAATTAATTTAAATTTGTATAAATTATTATTATACATTTTGTTATTTATAAATATATGTAAATTTAATACCTTCATGGAAGTTATATCTATGGTGAATGTCCAAGTTCCACCCGCCGACCTCAGATATTGTCATGTCATGCCCACTTAATTTAGTTGTTTGTACATCCCAAATTATTTCTTTGCAATCACTATACTCGTAGCCAACTTTAACAATTGCTGTTGTGACTCCATAAACCCGCTGTCTGTAAACATTTAATCTATTCCAAGCGTAAGTGAATTTTATCACTGGGTCAGCTTCAAATATTTTTTCAAATAGTATGCCTTCTATGGTGATTCGCAGATGAATAAGTTTTAAAGCTTCAGGAATTTCTTCTGGCGTTAATTGTAGCTGAATGGTAGATAAGTATCCAGTGGCTCTTGAACTGTGATATATAAGATTTAAGCCTGTGCCAGGAATTTGGAGAGTTTCTTGTACGACCTAAAAATAGAATTATTTATTATAGACTGATATAAAATTTTTAAAAACTAAGTTCTCTCAAAAACAATAATTACTTGAGATTCCGCAAGTATGGCAGATCTGTCTGGACATGAACCTTGAAAACCATGTTTCCAAGTTGCTAATACGACTGGCTTCATCACGTCATAATCGTGCACTGCGCAAGTTTGCGGCATAACACCTGATCCTAAACCTAAAATTATAATAGAACATTAGTAAATTTGAAATTTTTACCTGCGATTATATGTTTAATAAATCAATTTTCAAACTATATTTTTACCTGTAACTGGCAACACCTTTTCATCACCAGTCATCATGATAACAGTATCTATAATAACAACTTCGTTCCAGGGTACAGAAACAACTCTACTATGCGCTTTAAAAGGAGATCTTCCAAATTGTAATGTAACAGCTCCTCCTCCATTTACTAAAAGATCAAACCAGCCATCATCTCTGGTTAGAGTGAAGCCTTCAAGAGGCGTTGCTGTACTAACTCGTACACCCATCAGACCTGCTCCAAGAGATGTGACAACTCTACCTCGGACTACGGCTGATCGGCTAAATAAAAATTAAAAATTGGTAAAAATTATATACAAAAAAGAGAATATGGAAATAAAATGTAGTTTAAAAAAATGATAGGAAAAAAAAGATAAATAGTAGTTTATGAAAATATTCTTATTAGAACATCAGAAAACTGTTTTATTTGATAATTTATTTAATAATATGTTTTTGAATCTCTTAAAGAATATTTTTTGAAACAATACTATATAATAAATATAAATACTGAATATCATTATTATAATTATTGCACAAACATAAAATCTTATATAATATAATCTTATATAAAACAGATCAAGCAAACATGTAATGCACGGTACACTAGTGGATCAGGAGATCAAAAATAAACCATGCCAAAATCTAGCAAACATAAACAAACATACACACACATTTTTTAAATTTCTTAATAAACTATTGCAAAATCGACAAATAAAGCATATATATACGCATAAAAAAGATTTTTCGTAATTTAGGAATAAACTTGAATCCTGACTATACTATGGCCAAGATTGAAGTTTATTTTTAAATCTCAAGAATAATCTGTGCTAGCTTGATGATTCAATTTAGAAGATAATCAAAAATAAACTTTTAATAAATTAAATAAACAAGTTTTGACATAATTAAACTTCATAAGTATTTTAGCTACTGCAAAGTTTAAAAAATTACCACATGCGTCAGCAAGATAATTAAGTTAGATAAAGCAAACAAAAGTATTACTTTTTTATTGAAACTTAATAACTTCACGATACCAAATTAAAATTTAATTATTTTTGAAAAATATTTTGTAACATTCAACAGAATTTACGCAATAGTGGTAAGTTTTTTATAAAAAAAGTAAGCTTTCTAGTTAAATAATTCACTAAATAATATAATAGATGAACTGAAATATGCCGTAAATACTAAACTAAATATACAGCATCTGCCTAAACTTATGTAATAGGTTTCTAAGATAAAAAATTCTAGTATGTTTATACGTTTATCCTCGATGCACTTTTGAATTTGCTTACCTGGTGTTGAAGTGATTCCAAAACATACTGAATTCGCAGCAGGAAGAAAAAGAAACCCGAAAAAATGTTAACATATTTAAAAAAAATTCAAATCAGTGCTACTTTTAACATTTTAGTTTATAAAAATGCTATATGAAATAATCGAAATATTTTTTTCGAAAATAAATAATTATAGTTATTTTTATGACAAAAATATTTATTATAGAATTTTTTAATTACTAACGCGTTATACATGGAACCCGCACAGTTTTATTCATCGTGCATGTGTTATTTATATCCTTTAACAGCAATTCTTGAAAATATTGACACAAAATATTACATTGAACACTGATCAATTTTTGGGTAAATGTTAGTATGGTGACCAATATGAATTTTACAGCAAACACAGCACCACACACAAAACAAAAAAACTGCTTTGGGTTTTCAAAAAATAAAAAACAAATGTTATTAAATAAACTAAGAATATGTTTTGTTGAATTCGAATTTGGCATTAGTTACGCATTTTGAAATAATCATTATCGTGCCTTTTTTTTATATATTATTTATTAGTTTTTATAATAAAAAATATATATAGATTGTTCATATAAAATATATGCATAACATAGAAATAAGCACAATATTAGTTATTTGCTAAATAACTAATAATATTAAATATTTTAGTAATGTTAATTTTGGTAGTAATGAATGCAAAACGGTGTTATAATTCAGAAGATGCATAATAAAACCAAAGTTATTAGTATCGATTAGTTGAATATTCTATACAACTTTACTGCAAAAAGTTGTCCGAAAACCAGTGCTTAACAAAACAGATTCTTTCGAACACAAATATCAATAAAAGGAGTGTGGTATCACATGGGGCACAAACAGCGCATATTATATATAAAATCTATTCATAAATCGAATTAATTGTCCTAACTATAATCAAAATATTTATTAAGTACATCTCTTGTCGCAAAACACTTATAATATCAATTATTAGTATTTTTTCATAAAATTCAACAAATAAAAAACGTTTTTGAAGACTTAACCTATATAATATGTACGTAATATAGCAAACACATACCTTTCGTTGAAATTTTCCTGTTTGGCATAATTTTGCAAACTACCCTCGTCGATTAAAAATTTCATTCGTTCGAAAAATGAAGCTGTTGCAGCAGGTGGCTGCTTTCGAAGTAAAATATCGATAGGTTTTGGTGCAGAAACGCAAAGTTGACTTGAACGACATTGATGATTGGAACAGCATTCTGGATCCTCACAGTCCACTAAACCATCTGTAAATTTTATATATGTTGCAGATTTTATTCTTTTCCTAGACAATGTAAAATCCCGTAGCGAGAAATAACAAGTTTTTTTAGTAAATCTTCATATAAATATAAAATTTAGAACTTGTCTATTAGAAACAACACAGTTTTTGGAAGTATTGTGTTTCTCCGTAACTGAATAAAATAAAAACCGCATGCTGAACTAAATATTATAAAATGATTAAAAATGATCAACAGATAGTATATTTTTCACAAACCTTTATCATTGTCTTTTCCATCATTGCAATTTTGTTCCATGGGAACACTGCAGTCTTTTCCGTCCCATCCATCGTAACATCTGCATTCCCAAGCGCCTTCGCTATGTACTCCACACTGACCATGTCCAGAACAACCTCCTGGACAACCTTCCAAAGTACAATGCTTGCCATTCCATCCAGACACACATAAACAAGTACCTGTAAAGGAATTAAATATGAACAAAGTATACAATATGAGATTTGAATATAAAAGTATTTATATGTCTCATATATAGCACAATAGCAATAGTCATTTTAAATTTTCATGGCACTTTCAAATTTTGTGAATTCTGTTAAATCGATTTAAAAATACAATAATTGTATTTTTGATACAATACGCGCTTAACCGTTACGCAATGAAACACCTTGTAATTATATATAATTACAAACACAATATTATATTAAAAAAATATAGCGAATGGAAGGAATTGGTGAATCCGTTTGTTTCATTATCGTCAAGTAATAATTTGATAAATAATCATGGTTCAAATTCCATTAAAATTAAAATAATCTCTAAACACTTACCATTTTTACATTGGCCATGTTCATTGCACCTGGCATCACATTGCTTCAGAGTACAATATTCTCCTGACCACCCTGCTTCGCAAACACATGCTTCGCCAACACATCGACCATTCGGACCGCAGTCCAAGTCACAAAGTTCTGATAAAAATATAAATAAAATATGTTATCGAAAACTATTTGAAATGACAATATTATACGGATATTAGAGCATGCTTTTATTCACATGCAAGCTCTCTAAGCTTAAAGTGGGTTAACATATTATTGCAATAACATAATGATGTGTTGATTAAATTAGATCAATTCCATGATATTAATTGCAAGACTTTTATCATAGAAATGTATAGAAATTAGATTAATATTTAGACTTCAATCAGTCCATCCCGCGTAATATGATATTTCTATAGTAATCCTTAAATGGCAACTGTCTATCTTCTTACCTTTGGAGCAATCATCCCCTGACCACCTGTCATCACAAGTGCAGGTCTGTGTATCAATATCGAATCTACCGTGTCCTGAACAATCGGGTAAACATTGTAAAGCATCGTCGTCAGTTTCAGCGCAATCGGCTCCTTTCCAGCCGCGTTTGCAAACGCATACGCCGCCTTCGGCGCAAACGCCATGCCCGGAGCAGGTGGGATGAGGACAATCGACTGAACGCGGGAAAGAAGCGAAACATGCCCGATGTTAGTTTAGTGAATGTTATAATGGTTGTTGTTAGAAACATAATGATATCAAAAGTGTTTGTCGAATATTAATTTTATTATATTTATCGCAAATGTGCTTTTACACTTAAAAACAAGTTTTTTTTTTCTACTCCATTTCTGTTACTCCTTTTGATTATCATTAGGTTCATCTTATTTATGCCAATAATTAATATAGTTCTTGCCGGATTAGTGATTGTGGGTTTATCAAACATGATGTGCAAAACCCTTAATATAAACTGTATGTACAACCGAGATGTTGAAAACAAACACACAAACATTATTGGCATGCACATAATTATATGGAATATATTACACAGTAGAACTTGATAAATATTATAAATTATTAGTATTTAATCATTTCTTATATTATAATAAAGTATTTGACTCTTTTGAATAAAAATGCCTACAATCATGGCCAGGATTAAATAAAAAATTGAAGAATTATTATCAAAATTTGTAACTAAAAATAAACCCAAAAATGTTTGGTTGTAGACCAAAAATTCATATTTTTATGCTCGACCCTTTTATATGGTTGTAAACATATATTAACTAAAAAATATGACATATTCTGTGTTGTCAAATACACTATTAATAACGAATCGTTATCGAAAATTTATTATAATAAATTGAAAAATATTTGAAATATTTTGTAAGTGTATTATTAAACATATGTAAACTACAATTTTCTTTATGTTAAAGTCCAAAACGTGATTTTAACAACAAATGTTTATAATGAGCCACTCACTTTCTTCACAGAATTTTCCTTTATATCCTCGAACGCAATTGCATTTTCCATTGACGCAGTGTCCATGTCCTCCGCAATCCGACACCTCACATTCGTCATGTCTCAAAGAACATTCTTTGCCTTTCCAACCAGGATTACATTGACACTCGCCATTAATATATTCGCCGCGAGCACTACACAGGACTGGACATACGCCTAGAAATTATAATGCATAAGCTAATATATAAGAAATATTTTCTAATATACTTAGAATTATTTTTAAAACTTACTGTCACTACAATCATCTCCACCAAATCCTGGGCTACACTGACAATGACCAAGAAGACATTCGCCTTTCCCACTACATCCATTCGGACAACTGTGAGTCATATCTTCTGCAATTGCAGCAGTAAACGCCACTTCTTGAGCGTCACCATCATCATTGTAGAGAGATAAAAACCAATGGCCTTGTTCCATGTAGTGAGTCACTTGTTTTTTCATAGATGGCTGCTGAAAATAAAAACGAATTGTTAGTACGTTGAAATGAAAAGTAATTTATCGAAGTGAATATTAAGCGAAAACTTACGTGTGCTGCGCGGGTAGTCCTGGCTTTGAATCCACTTAATACTTCCAAAATGTGATACTGGGTATGAGTCGGTAAGGCATTTCTTCTCGCATAAACGCCCACTGAAGCCCCACGTGGTATCGTGTAATCAAAAGTAACATAAGCTGCTTGTGATTGATAGAACTGCATATTCCAATAACCGTAAGGAGGTATTTCATTCGAAAGACGTTGTCCAAGAGAAATTTGGGAAAATGTTGTGCCATCTGGTGGGAAGGAACGCGCTGGGAACGTTCGTGCACCTGAGATAATATTTCAAAATTGATATATAAACATTATATGACTAATAAAATGAAAAATAATTTATAGCATTAATGTTTATAATATATAAACATGTTATTTATGATTTTAAATATAATTTATATAAGAAATTTATGAGAAAATCCATATTTATGCTAGTATTAAACTCTAGAACTTAGAAGTTTAAATGAAATTCTGCTCTAAAATGCAAGAAAAAAATATTTTGTTTCGGTATTAAGGAAGGTATTAGTGTACAAAAAGATTAAATTAGATTTAAAATGAAAATATAGACATTCAGTACATCACAAGAAACCAAGCTAGTTAATTCATGCAAAACTAACATCAAATTAAAAAACTTACCATTTCTCAGAAAATGTTATATTTTCAATAAATTGCTTTACCTTCCAAAATTAGAATTGCAGGTGGTATCTCTGCCCAATAATCAATTTTAGCACAGGGGCGTTGAGAAGTAGAATAACTTTCAAAATATTCAGTGGTATACTGTGTTTCATCACTGGTGTCTGTAGAATTGTTTAACCAGTCGTCTTCCGAGTAGTTATCCAGATCATAAGTTGTAGATGCTATTAGATCCGTTGAATTGTTATTTTCTATAGTTTTTTTAGTAGGGTAATCAACATCCCAGTCTTTATCATCAATATAGTCTTTATCTTCAACTTTATCAATATCATTCATGCATGGACAAGAACATTGACATTGACCACCCCAAATTCGATATCCCGGAATTAGTGTAGATACCGGAGGTGATTTTGTAGAAGCCACGCTATTGATATCAGTAGACGACATGTGATCAGGTGTATGAAGTATATTTGATTCTTTGTTTTGTTCAATTCTATGGTCAATTCTATTATTATCATTATTTCCCAAAGACAAAGAAGCAGATGGCATGGATAAACCATTCGGTTGATTTTGTCCCGTAGGCACCGTTAAGGATAAAACGTATATTGGAGTATTTGCTCCCGATATACTGATATTCACCAAAACATTATTTCCTGTTGAGCTAGGAAATAGATCTAATGGTGCATCTGTTTTCAAGGATATGTGCTCGTATTTTGGAGAAGAGGTTTGCGCTAATGGAATATCGGTGTGAATATTCAAATCAGCAGAAGGCGTTGAAAGCACTTCAGCTTTTGACACCGATGTTACATCAGTCCACTCAGGTTGCTGTGTTTGCTCTGATCTCGACCGCGCATGTCCATTCCACAATCGCTGAACATCGTTCTCTGCACTGTTAATAAATGGCTGAATCTGCTCCTCGTGAACATCATAGTCGTATGCTATTTCAGTGAAATCGTCGTCAGATACGTTTTCATCCAAATCATAAGAGACAACAGAAAAATCTTGCTGAATTAGTTTATAATTTTGTGTTTGGGTTTCTTTTGTTTCAGTGTTGTTTGTAAAATTGGTTTCGGTAATTTCAATTATATCTATTGGTCCTGATTGTGCAGATGTTTCAATACTATAGGCATTCATTTTTCTTGATATATCTTGTGATTGAATTGGAACTAATTCTCCATCATTTAAATCAGTTCTTTCTATCAATTTGATATTATCTTTTTTTGCACGGATGTTACTTGGTTTGTTTAAATCCGTTTCAATAACCATCGAATCAAAAAAGTTGTCATTCTCAGAATGATTATCTACTAATCGATCTGTAACAGCATTGTAAACATTGCTATACATATATTTTTCAGTATTTCCATCATGCTTTTCTTTAGATAATAAACCTTTTACGAGTCTTTCCCAAATCTCGCTGCTATCTAAGTTATCGTGAGTACTGATAGGCACATTAAGAATTGTGTCTAGAATATGATCCATATTTTGCTTTGATTCATTCTTATCCATGTGTAGAAGCTCTACAGGTTCTTCCGGAGTAAAGCTGTATATATTATTAGCAAAAGAATCACTAGGACTCTTCTCAGTCATATTGTCCAAATTATCACTACCACTTTCTAAACTACTAACACTACTGTTAAAATCTACAACTTTATTAAAAAAAACACCAACATCTCTTTTAGATCTTAATTTATCAGAATTACGTAAATTATTTGATGTGCTGTTTATTGTTTCTACACCTACACCATCATGCAAAGAAACATAAAAGTTATTTAGTAATTTAAAAAAGTTTACAGATCTATTAGAAGTTAGAATAAAAACAGAAGGTGCAATAGACATATCATGCTGTGAAAAATTAGAAACATTTATTAAGTTTATATTTCTAAGGTCATTGTTATTACCTCCAGAACCCGTATTTGCTGATGTTGCAGCAGGTTTCTGGCGACTATTGGCGGAAGTAGAAATGTTTTTATTAGAAATGTCCACGCTAGAAGCAATTTTAGAAGCTGTAATTATATCTCCATCAGTGCTCGTACTAGTATCACTAACCAAGACTGAACAAGCCTTTGAATTTTGGTATGACCAATTCAATAGGCTCGACGCTAAAGAAGAAAATTAATTAAATTAATTTATTATTTATTAAATAGAACCTTTTAATATCAAAATATTACTATAAATACTTACTGGATATGTATGATATGGCTGCTGCAAGTAGTACTGATAGCAGAATAAAAGCAATCGCAGCGCATTTCCAGGAGCATCTGCGGGCCAATCCTTTGCGAAAATGAAACCGAGCCGCGCTGGTAGCCCCGCTTTGTGGAAAATGAGATGAATTAGGTCTTCTTAACTGATTTCTAACGGGCAAAACTGGTACAGGGACTCCTGTTCCATGACGATGCATGGTTCCGCCGCTGGATGCTGAATTATATTTTTGATCGATAGCTGCTGCGCCCGATTGTGAGATCATCATGCCGACGCCGATGGTCTTTGAAGGGGTGCTGCAGGCTGAGTTCGGTTGCTTGTAATCAAGCGGTGAGGTTTTTTGGTGATCTGAAAAAAAATTAATGTTACATAAAATGTTACATACACATAATTAAATCAAGAGCAAATATATAAAATCACAATTCCAATAGACAGTAAATTAATTAACAACCAAAAAAGTTTGTATAGATGTCTACTCATATTTCTTTGTTGCTGGGATGTTATATGTGCTCCCCAAGAAAACTATCAAAAGCAAAATAAAATTCCTAGATTACTTCGTCATTATTGAAATCAATATTACTAAAGTTTGAAGCTAAAACTATCATCTAAATTAGAAGTATCCTACGTCGATGTTCAAGAAAGAAGGTCTTTGATTCAAAGTACATTCAAGTAATATAAGGGTGTTAGCTACTCAGCTCGTCCTTACACTATCGCGAATCGCATTCGCACCTACATGTTTACCGGTACACGATTCGTCCATTACTGGTGTCGAACCCGAGACCCTTTAAGTATCCACGCTCTCTTGATCATCACTATTACCGCGTATACAATACATCCCCATACGAGATTTAGGCGTTTCTACAGTCTGAAAGCTGGGCGAACTGAAAGTCAGGGGGTTGATAACGGATTTGCTACAAACCAAAATTCTAAAGTTCCGAGTAATTTAAAATTCATTGAATTCTTAAATATATTGATATTGATAGGTAATTGATACATTCCAGATAGTACACGTTACTACCAAACGCTCAGGGTCGTCATAAAGTAATTATCAAGTTCAGATTCAATATTCAATATTCAATTGAATAAAATAGAATTTATATCTATGAATATACCGCTTAAATAAATTTTTTGTTTGACTTCGCTTATTTATAGCATAGATAAAGTTAGTATTATCATAGTTTTACATTTTATTACTTGACAATAATAATATATTTTGCATGGACACTTTACAAATGTTGTGTATGCTTATATTATTGTAATAGTTCTTACTTCTGATTTTTAAATTTGGTATTCAATAATAAATCACTAATATTATAAATGAGTTTACTTATCTTAAAAATTATAGTTTTTTGGGTAAGAAATATGAATCATTCAAAAAAAGCCTTTCTATTTGTTGATTTTAGTTATTTAACAATATCATACACAAGTCAATTTTTATTAATAACATTTATTTTTTATTGTGAATCTTTCTTATATAAACAAATTGATGCAAATTCATCGAATAATATATATATATATATATATATATATATATATATATATATATATATATTTTACTCTTACTTATTGTTAGACATGACTATATAGAAAAATGCATAATCGTGTATAAAAATATGAATAATAGTAATAAAATGGTAATGTTAGTTATAAGCAAGGGAGGAAAGAAAATCATTGATTGTGGTCCTCTCACATCATGAACCTGCCTTGGAGCAGACAACCCTTTATTATGAACAAAAATGAGTTTAACACTACCTCAAGAGAATCGCAAATCTTTATGTAATTCAGAAATGTATGAGCCTAAAAACCTGATTGAATATTTTAATTCTCTATCACTTGTATAGAAATTCTAAATGTTTATTTTGCATAGACTTTACATAGACTACTAGTCCTCATATGTTGTTATTATATAATATGACATTGAATCAATCGGGAAAGTCCGCGATTGTCGGCAACGTTTGCTCAGCAAGTGACGTCACAGTCCTATGCTAGGTCTATGCTATTTTGGCATTAAAATACGATCTATAATAAAATTGAACTCCCAGCCACCAGTCTATTAGGCGTTACCAAGTTGATGTGTGCGAGCTAGTAGTGCGAGTGCAACTCATTGTCAGTTGAATGGGAAAACAGTGTGCGATGGGTGGGCGAAGAGCGAGAGCACTTTAAAACACACCGCTTTACACAGGTAATATATGCGAAAACGTTATATGCATTGTATTTTGTGCGCCTCCCGTAAGAGCTTATGATGTTTTTATATATGACGTACATTTTGCATTTTAAGTGAATTCCTGGCAACTAACCTACTTCTAAGCTCTCAATCTAAATGTAAAAGTCTATTTAAATATGTAAATTGTAGATGTAGAGCAAGGTAATGTCTTAGTAAATAAGATAGTAGCAGAAAATTTTAGTCTTTTGTAAGAAACAAATTTTTATTACTATTTTTACTACTCGCTTATTCATAAGCTCGACATTATTAACCCTCCGTCGGTCGGCGTGGTCTGGCCAGACTTTTTTCGACTTCAATTAGAAAAAAAAAATACTTCTAATAATCCTATCGACTTGAAATTTCTTGACTTTTCCTATAATTTCATTAGCTGTCGATCAATGAAAAAATCAGGACGAAAAAATGTACAGAAGGATAATTATAAGGATTTAATTTTTTTTATACTTCGAACGGTCGGAAAGGTCTGTCTAGACCACCCATACATTTTGTATGAAATATACGCTTTTTCATGGTATTTTCTATTCAAACTGCGTTGTTTATATTCTTTGCTATGTGTTCTAACATGAATGTTAGTATTTTCATGACGAGAGTTTCTTGAAAACCTACCAAACTTATTGGTAATCGCAAACACTGAAAATCGGATGAGTAATGCACACATTCATTCAGGCGCCAAAAAGAATAAATACTGTTTTTCATTGATTTAAAACAGAAAAATTAACAAAAAAAGCAACGATTTTTTTTATATTTCTTGATTTTTTTATATAATCGTTAATACATAAGACACCAAAAACTCATTTATCCCATATAAATGCATGTAAAATGAATGGTGGTCCAGCCAGACCTTTCCGACCGTTCGAAGGTGAAAAAATATCCGACCGACGGAGGGTTAATAGTCCTAGCGTGGCAGACGCAATAAATATTGATATTTTTTTTCAAAATAGTGTGAGTTAATAAAAAAAATATATTAAAGCGTTGCAAAAGCTATATGTACAATTTGAATGCGGTGCTGGAAACAAATGAAAAAGATAAATTGGCCAGACAATATAACCAATGATGATCTACTGAGTACGACCCTGAAAGGAAAAGAAACCGCTACATACAGAAAATGATTTAATAAGTAAATTTTATGAATTATTATTCAACTAATTTTTATTAAATGTTCTTATTATTGTAATAAACATACATATATGTGCACACAATGGGTTTTGTAATAATTTTTGTTTCTTTCCTTTTCGAACGGAACCGGAAAAAACATGAGAACCGGTTTATGAACCAGTTTTTAAATTTTAGCGTTCCGACAAAAAATATTAGCACAACACCACTGGTTTTATCAAAGTCGTTTTTAATTTAGTTACAAATTGAGGTGTATAAACTGAAATATTAATTACAATACAGTAGTGTATTTCAAATTTCACATATGTTACTTTAAGACCGAAAAGTTGATTGTAGCAAAAAAAGCAATTCTATAATTACAAAAGCATAAGAACTGCAAAAAAATGTAATATTTTAATACTTGGATGAATTTTTTGCCATCTAAGGCAAATATATAAGCCGTTCGATCGCTTGTAAATTTTTACAATCCAACATTTATTGGTAATTTTTTTAATCATTGTTTTATTGACATTTATTTATTGGTAAATTAGTTGACAATTTATAGCAAAAGAGTTACCCTGATATTTCAATAGACTTATTGTCTAAATTTCGGCCTACAATTTGAAATTTGTATGCATATTCATAGAAACTTTGATCTTTTAAAAATCTGATGATGGTGCTGTGGAATTGATGATCACTCAATTATTGATCAACCTGGTAGTAGATTAAAGAATTGTACTCCTATACTAGTAATTCCCAACGCAAAGCACCCACAGAAAAATCAATTTTTAAATTCAAAGGGGGGAGGCCAGTTAAAAAATTACACGACTTTAACCCACTTGCTTTGGGTGATTTGTAAATACTGTTAGAAATTCGTTAAATATATTATGATCATAGTTTAGTTTAAGTGAGCACAGGATGCATGTGCAAATTATATAATTTTTCCATATATATTTCCATAGCTTAGGTAAATAAGCATCCCTTTTTAGGTCTAATGTAAACTTTCTCAATATTACGGATTATAGAAAAATTCCAAATTCTGTATGTATTAGTCTGTATATTTATAAATTCCCATCCCTTCCAGGCAGCGGTATAATTTTTATATTATATTTTTAAATTTAGAATTTTTAGAATTCAGTAAGCTGCGAGACTAAAAACATCTTAAGAAATTCAGCTCGCACAAGTTACTCAAACATTTAATAAAATTTATAGAGCAGAAATTAATTTTCTATGAAGTGATAACAGCAAAGACTGCAGTAAGGTGTAATCGATGCCGGATATTTTGGATATTTTAGATATTTAATACCGAGATAAAAATTCTTATTTATATACATATAAATAATATTTATAAATTAAATCTTATATTCATTCGCATTTCTTATACGCTAACACCTACATCAGGTTCCTCCATTCGTGTATTTCTATAACCTTACGTATGCCTATACGTTGCATTCTATACTACACGCCTTACATCTGTACCATACGCTATATTTCATCATATACTCTCAATCCCTACATTGTATACCGAATACACCTAACCTATATCTACTATATATCCTATTACCTATAATTTTCCTTACACGCTACATTAACCCTACCGGGAATCGATCCCGGGTCCGCCGCGTGGCAGGCGACGACCTTAGCCACTAGACCACCGTAACGCTACAATGAACCGTCTTTTTTTCGCGTGTCGTCGCGCCACCTTAGTATTAATTACCTAATTAATTAGAAAATGACCCGCGGAAACAACAGTGCGTCCCATATTATATTATTAATGGGGGTACCCGATAGGGTAGTGGTTAAGGTGCGCGACCGCCACGCGGAAGTCCCGGGTTCAAATCCCGGTATAGACAATAGATAGGTAGAGATAATACATAGGGCGTAAGGTAAACCTATATAATATAGGTAAATATATAAATTAGACAGTAATATTTATAAGAAGTAAAAAGTATGTAGGTATGTAATAAGTTAATGACGGTGTAGGTATCTCACGGTATGATTGATAATAGATATCTACCTATGATATACAATAATATAGTATAGTAAGATAGGTAATAGATTATCTATCATATTATTAGGTTAAGTCTTATAAAGTATTGTAATAAAACTTGAGTACTTTTATATCTCAATAAATACCAGTAGGTAAGTATTAATGAATACAAATAATACCACAATAAATATAATTAATGTTATTAAAGAATATAAATTATGTACTCAATGATTCCCTCATACTTGTACAATTTAATGTATAGACTAGCAGTATATAATAGAGTTAATTATATAAGAAGTCAATATATTAGATTTGTGAGTTCTTATCGAAATACATCAAATTTTTTGAACCGGATTTTAAATTTTAGCGTTCCGGCAAAAAAAATATTAGCACAACACCACTAGTAAGAAGAACACCACTGGTTACAGGTAAGAAGATCTCAAATGCTATACGACAGCGTCGAAGGTAAAATAAAAGGTCTGAAAGGAGTGAGAAGGAAAAGAATGCAAATGATTGACGACTTACGAAAAAAGAAAAAATACAGGGAACTGAAAGCCGAAGCACCGAAGTTTGGAGAGAAAAATACATAAAAATAAATGAAAAAGTGTTTTTTGGTAATACAATTTTATTGGTAAAGGGACTAATAAACAAGGGAGGGAGAAGGAATTATTGATTTGTTGTGCTCTCATATCATGGACCTGCCTGCCTTCGGACAGACTACTATTTATTATTATCATTATTAAAACATTTTGAATATGTGAGTACCATATATGATATAAGTTAATACTAGAGTTTTAAAAATATATCTGTCTGTAAATCATCATTGATTTTTTAACAATGATATACAACGATACAAAAATAATTAGATAATATCAATGGTTAAAATTTAAAATTGAATCTAAATTATATATTTTTAAAAACAGTTGAATATTTACAGTAAAATATAAAGAACTATAACTGTTCAAAACGAGCTTAATCTATACGATTAAAGATTAAATTAGTAAGTGTAAATTAATTAATTTCTAAGTTTAAAATTCCCATAAGTACTGAATAAAGCACCTGCAGGTATTGAAGAGATAAAGTTTAGTATTCAAAATTAAAGTATTCAAATTTGACAATTCGAAAATACCAGATTTAAAATATGCACACCGATTCCAATATAAAAATTGCATTTCAAAAGTGTTATATGCAACATATTAATACACCGAGTAAATAAAACCTGATCAGTTTATCACAAAATATGCAAACCGCCGCGATCGTTATATAATTCAATCATTCAAATGGTACTTTTTGCGCAAAAGCTTCTATCAGCCGACTAGAAGAGCCCTAATGATTGATTGTAATTGACTTCTCTATGGTTTTGAATTTTCCAACTTACAATAGTATTAGTCATCCCCCTGAGCATGAACAAAAACTGCCTATGCATGTGTGAATGGACATATTTGTTTTCCTATACCCATTGTATAATACATTTGAAAAGGTTTTGTGTAAATCGCGTAGGTACATCGACACTGCATTAACTATGAAATATAATTTTGATTATTATGATTAATTTCGAAATTCATCGGCCATTATCGCTCGGCGGTAATGTTGATTTATGGCTTGTATATCGCTTTTGTTTAGTATCGCGTAATGCAATGCTGCAGCGGCGGTTAGTGCCAGGTTTCGAGATATCGCATTATAAATTTGGAAAATGAATTTTGTAATATAAATTAACATAAAGATCAAGAGAGTTTTCAATTTATAAATACTAATAATTATTAAACACACTGTAATTTAAAAATGCATTTGATTATAGTTTGCCAACATACTGGATGACGGATATGAAAACCCAGAAGGTGTGTTTCATTTAAAAAATCAACGGACAAAAAGTATAGCTATAACGGATTATAAAACTTGGCGGGTTTTATTTCCCCGGGGCATAAGAGAATCGCTCCTCAGAGACTACCAGCTGAAAATTCAGGAGATTTTACGCACAAACGCAGCAGAAACAGGAAAACCATTAAAAAAGACATTTGAAAAATGCTGTAGAAGATAAATATATGCCGTTGTATCTAAATTATTCTTCAAAACGTTAGATTTTTTGTTAGTTTAGTATATTTCACCAATTAATATCAAAAATAAAAAAGAGTAAAGTTCACGCGATTGAAGTAAAACTTATTTGCTACAGTACAAGATGCCATTTAAGTAAAAATAAATACATCAATTTTGAATAATGTTTATCAGTATTATAGTATCATTCGTGATGCACATATTTACCATTATACACATTTATATAATTATTTTTCTTTTTTGCTGGCGATATAAATAATCTCATTCTTTGAACAGCTGTAATATCTGTTTTGCCTAAAAAATATTTTCCATTTTAATGACTTCAAAGATTAATAGAAACTACGAATAATATAGAAATATTTTCGAATCAATAAACTTACGTTTAGTACAAATGTTTAAGTTGTTTTATTATTTTCAAGAAACAGTGTAAAATATTCTTCTGATTCAGGCATTTTTCATTAAATCAAGAATTGTAATAAGATGTAATTTTAAAATGTTTATCTATCTATGTCGATCTTCTTGTTAATATCGGTACGCCTATAACGTTGACATATGCGACGACTAATCACAATCGACAATCAGAATCGTGCATTTGTACGGATTTACACTGTAGTCGCTCGTGAAGAAGTTTTACTTCAAAAGTTAATTATCAATCAATCATCATGTAATTATATTTACTATTTAGTATATATGCATAGATACTGCATACAATGTCACAATGTATATATTCCGCAAATGCTTGCTGCATTTGCGGAACTAATCTGATCTTAACGTCTCTACGCATCCGTATTATGCGTGTGCGTGCGGTAATTTGCACAAATTTTGATGATAATTGTGCCGGCTATTCGATTGTGTTCGTTACTGGGAAAATTGGGAGATAGTGTTGGACCTAGTGAGCATAAATAATACAGTAATAGGTATATCGAACAAATTTAATCTGGTAATATTATTTAATTCATCTAATTGTATGTATCATTTTGACAATGAATAATCACTTAAAATCGTATATAACTCTAATATCTACTATAGAAAGCCGCAGAACAGTAATTTTAATTTCCGATCTAAGTACTTAATTCTAAACAAATACTCACTTAAAGTTCCGGTAGGTATATAAACGTTCCCGGATGGAGTTCGTACCAAGCACGAAGGTTCAAAATCACCACCTTGGCCGTCGCCTAATGCCGATGCGATCTGTTGGGGCTGAAGCGCGGTCGCGACGCGTCCGTTCAGGTGCTGGTGCAGCGCGGCCGGCTGGTGATATTGGGCCTGATGACGACTCATTGTCGGGTTGCGAGGTGGCACGTCCGGCGGCCTTGGCACACCGTCCAGCAGACAACCTGGGTAAAGGAAAATAATAAATATATTAGAACAACTCGAAGACCATAGTAGTATTGTAGTCTATAATATGCTGAGATAGATTAAAATATCAATAAGAAATAATGGGTTTTTAGAGAAAGATTGAAGGTTTTCTGTAATAAATATTAACACAATTTAGCCCATATAAAAATAATAGAAAACTGTTAAATTTAATTGATGTATAATAATTATTTATTATGTATATTTGATGTCTGCAGATCCTCAAAGAAAAAGTCTATATTACATCATTGCATTTATGAAAAGCACATATATAGATTTTTTAAATAATATATTGCAAAGGGCACATAATAAAGGATTTAAGCAAAACGCCAGCAAGTATTAAAACCCGTTGCCATTGCTGAAACCAACAACTTCTCTCGAATACCGGCAGATGCGAGTGCGATTTATTCAACCTTTGGAATTAGTGCGGGATGTTCGTATTGATTTTATATTTCACTTCGCGCATTTGCTCTTGTAAGTGTACTGAATGGAGCGGGTTACATAACTGTGAGAAAACTTTAATTTTGATAAATCTCAAATTCAAAAAAAGCCGCAGCATCTGTATGGCTGGACCCAAATTACCAACACTCTCAACATTATACTGCTCATCATCAATCGCAAAATCAAGAAATTTCATCCCTTAATGAAACATTGCAGTTTACAAAATGTTATGTTGATTTAAAACATATTTTACTTCCTTATTACATACATTTTTAGTAACCTATCTCACAACAACAGCATTGTTCTATTCTATTTCCATTACCAACAATGTTCCTTTCTATGTCTATGACTACTTCTTTCGTTACTTTTGGTTTCACTTTGACGAAAACGGTTCAAACTAATTCAATAATCAAATATATTACTTATGTCACTCAGAAGGGCTAACCCTAATGCTATTTGCAAAGTAAATTTATAAATTGCAGTCATTCTTGATATAACAACGTACTTTTCCATGCACGGTGCATTCGACGTGCCACGCCGCGTGTCTCCGACTATCTATTATAGACACGAGATGAGTTGATACATCAAATAATTGAGACACAAATAAATAGGGGACTGTTTCAGAACAAATATTGTATTTAGAAGATGTATAACTGAAATATATTAATTTAATAAATATATCTTAAAGTTTTCCTGACATCAAAAGCAAATATATTTAGTAATGTTGTACATTTATTGAATAAAATGGTAAGTAACTTTATAGGCCTTACAAATTCAATAGATATAAAAATAAAGCCGATTTAAAATGTTCAAATTGAATATTGATCAAATACTTTCACATGAAAACATAAATAAAACCATCAAATATGTTTCCAATTGATAATAGCCCATTTTGGGCTTTGCGGTGTGTTAAATGGCAATGAAAAATCTCTCGCACTATTTTTTTAGGAATCGAGTTGGAGTTTAACTCAGCTCGCGCACTTCTAGAGCAGCACTACCAATATTTTATACTAAATTTATAATATTAGACAATTTATTTATATGAAAACGTTGACTAATATCATCAGTATTGAATGTAAAATGTTTTATTGTAATATCTGTAATGTAAACATAGCAATTGTACCTATGCGAATTCTTCATGAAAATATATCTGTAGTGACTTATGCCATTGACGAACTTTGAACATAATTTCGTTAACTGAATAATTAAATTACGACCACAAAATATGAATAACAAATGAAAAAATTATTTATTTTTTCACGGAACATTTACATTTTCATTCATTTTTTGGGTGAACTTTTCGTACATTCATGGTATTTCAAGTTCATTCCCGTTATTGATCAAACTGTCCCTTGGGTCCCTGAACCGCGGCAACAAAACGAAGCAAAATCCAAGAGAATTCTCATTGTGTTAGCCGGCCAAAAAAATAGATGAAATTAACTATCTGATCTAATCTAGAGCAACTATTGATTGTTGAATGTGGCGCGTGTGCTGTATTCGATTTTTCTCAGTTGACAAAATCTGTTTTTCTGTATTCATAGCTAGACTTATCGTTAAGGAGGGTATTTGCAGTCATAAACCTTGTGTGTGCACGTGCCGATGCACATGCACGCGGCACGTGCGACACTTTTTGACACTGATACCCTCTAGAAAAATGGAATGTACCCTAAACCATGATGAGAGAGAATGGAGACTTGTCCGTCGCATTCGTAGAATAATTAAGATATTAACAATGCTTATAATGAGGGCACGCTTGAAAAACTCTCAAGTAGGTATAGTATAGAGAACTAATACTTCAAACTTTCAGTTTGTAATTAATTTTTAAATAATCTTCTAAAAACTAACAAAGCATGAGTAAAGTTAACTTACAGCATTTGGCACAATATTTAATTCGAAACAAATACCAAATACTAGAGCTTCTGTAATACAGAACAATTTAATTTGCTAAATCCTTATATAATATCCATTCAAATGTTACCCCACCACTGCCCGCATCTTGATGCCTCTCAAACGATTGTTCCTTGTGCAGAAAGGAGCAAGAATGTAAAGAATAGAACAGAATGCAAATAACCTAAAAGAATGACGAGAAACCGACATGAGCAAAAGGAAAATTTAGAGAAGCGAACTGCAAAAAATCGAAGAGAAAAACCAAATGCCACGGAAAATCCTGTCGACGCTGCATCATCTTATTCCGCAATTGCAGTGGCTCCCAAAGACGGGAGAAAAATATTGTAAATGACATACTTTGATGCATAGTAGAGTACCTAATTATATATTAAATTTACCTAAGAAGTATAATTGTTGTGTTTACAAACAATATATATCTGTTATACGTGTAAAAATATTAATCAAATATCAATTATACAACTGTTTGAAGAAGAAGCAGTGTTTTAAAATAGATTGAACTAATGATGTTTGCACATGCAAAATAACGCCCCCTTTGCCATGTGTTCCAATCCCAAATTTGCAAATAAAAAAATATCGGTCTGTAAAAAGAATCTGCGGGTACAGAGGTTTGTCTGCCGTTGCACCCCCAAGGGACTCTCCCCAAAATCTTTCGCACTCGTCTCCGTAGAGAATAAAAATTCTTCGGTGTTCCTTACGATCGACATTTCCACCCTCCTGCTCGAGGCGCGAATCTTCTTTCATCCAGCTCAAGATGCGATGAGGGCAGAGCGCGCATTTTAAATTTGATTTGCACTTGTGCAACGCATAGCAGAAGCCTTCCCACGCGTATGTGAAGGAGGAAAATCGCATGTGTGGAAAAAAGGACTTATCGGAAGGAAGTATCGAAATAAGATTTGTCTTATAGGGTCATGAAGCTGGTGAAGTATAAGAATTACTTTATTGTTCGAAAGTGCCCTATTATAAATTGATATTTGTTTAGCAAAACTTAAAATCTTTGACAAAAATTGCATTTTTTTCATATAGATTTGTTGTAACGAACAACAAAATTTTATCTCCCAATTTTAATCGATGTTCTTAGCAATATAGAAATACTCTCAAAATTGTGCAGATAATCGCATCTTAATACAAGATTTATGTAAATCTTTTTATATAGTGTGATGATCAAGAATTTGCGATTTTAAATCTATTTTTTGTGCTCTACAATGGTGACCTACGATGCTATTGACAACATGGATAAAATCATATCAGCATTTCCAGACTAGTTCATGGAATTACTTCTGCAGTCATTATTGTAAATTCAAGAAACATATAGTTATATGTTCAGTTTATTAATTTTATTTCGTTTTGTATACGAGCAGAGCAAAATCCAAAAATACTGTAAAAATAATTAATTTAAGTAATAAACCATACGTCCTTGTTTGACCGGGACAGTTCCGGATTTCCACCTTGAGTCCCGATTTTCGCAATTTATCGATAATAAAAGTACGCCGAAAAATTTACGAAAATTATGAAAACAAACTTCTCGACTACCTGGCAAATGTGTTTAACAATAAGTAAATTATGAAGAAAATAAACAGAATTTTATACAAAACTTAAAAGCAAGAAAAACGTTAAAATCGAAAAATATAAGATATAAAGGAACATAAACAAATCCTACTAAACATGAGTAATTAAAATTAAAAAAAACGAAATATTTGAAAAAAAAATCTTTATTGCCAATTGTCACCATTTCTCCTATGTCTAACTTTTTTTACCATTCTTCTATATATTAGCTAGTCTAATAATTATCTATCCTACTAAACATGAGTAATTAAAATTAAAAAAAAACTAATTATTTGAAAAAAATCTTTATTGCCATTTTTTTACCATTTCTCCTATGTATAACTTTTTTTACCATTTTCCTATGAGGGGTTATATTAGCTAGTCTGATTATTATCTATTCTGTAATCATAAATATAATTTATTATTAATATATTATTGAATGATTGCAACTATGCCCACAAAGAGCCATTTTCCCTTGGAATTATATTGTTATCTATAACCCCCAGTGGTAATTTGACATCAATGCTGCTTCAAGTCGGGCTTTGGCGTTAGCGAGAATCCAACCAGCAAACCCGGGACCAGCTGGCTAGCCCACCCCAGTTTCCTTAAATATAGTATGTTATTATATAACATATTCATTCAAGTCATTTAGCAAAGAAAATAAACCCCATCCCGGATTTGCATAACTACAAGTTGCTAGCCGCTCAAACGATTGTTCCTTGTGCAGAAAGGAGCAAGAATGTAAAGAATAGAACAGAATGCAAATAACCTAAAAGAATGACGAGAAACCGACATGAGCAAAAGGAAAATTTAGAGAAGCGAACTGCAAAAAATCGAAGAGAAAAACCAAATGCCACGGAAAATCCTGTCGAACCAGCAAACCCGGGACCAGCTGGCTAGCCCACCCCAGTTTCCTTAATTATAGTATGTTATTTTCTAACATATTGAAGTCAATTAGCAAAGAAAATAAACACTCTCCCCATCCCGGATTTGCATAACTACAAGTTGCTAGCCCAGTACAAATATGTAAAATTGATGATATCTTCGTTATATTCTAGAAGACATTTTTTAAAAACAGGACCCAATTCGG